CTGCCACGCCCCACAGCTGTGCCTTCCGCGAAGACCACCAGTCAATTCCCTTGGAGCCCACATAGCCCTTATGTCCCCAGCGCGGGATTCGTGACCGGGCGCAGGCTCTAGCGGCTTACTGGATGATACGTGTAGTTCCAGGCTTTTATTTCCGTTAAGTCAAGGCCCTCAAAGGACAGCGGTATGCTGGGCGTGGTAGAGCTTGACTTTAACCTCAATATTCTGGAGACAGACCGGCGGGAAGGCTCTGAGATGGAGGCCAGCCTGGTCTACAGGGTGAGTTGCAGGTCAACCAGGACTACATAATGAAACCTTGACTCAAAATAAGCCAGTGGTAAAGGACCCTTGGATGTGTCTGTGTGTGGGTATATGCATGTGAGTGCTGGGAGTTGAACTTGAACTTGGGTCCTCTGAAGGAGCAGGCCCTTAGCTGCTGAGCTATGCCCCCCAGAGATTCTTAAAACCCTATAAATCTGGGGATTTGTCTTTTTTGTTGGTGGTGGTTTTTTTTTTTTTGTTTTTTTTGTTTTTTTGGTTTTTCAAGGCAGGGTTTCTCTGTTGCTTTGGAGCCTGTCCTGGAACTAGCTCTTGTAGACCAGGCTGGCCTCGAACTCACAGAGATCCACCTGCCTCTGCCTCCCAAGTGCTGGGATTAAAGGCATGCGCCACCACCGCCCAGTTTGGATTTTTTTGGTAGAGGGTAGGGTCTGAGCACCAATATTTTTAAACATTCTTCACAATGTCTCAAAAACTGAGAGCCACTCTGGAAGTGAAGGTGACCCCAATAGTTCAGGCTAGCCTGGTTTACACAGATGTCAAGGTGTCGGGGAAGCTGGGCCTAGGGGTTCAGGCCTGTAATCCCAGCACTTAGGTAGTAGGCAGAGACTGCAGTTTGAAGGACTGAGCCAGGTAGCACGTTTCAGTTAGCTGAATGTACAGTCTCTCAAAACTTCTATCTCAAAAACTCAACAGAACCAGGTGTGGTGGCTCACACCTTTAATTCCAGAGCTTGGGAGGCTTGGGTAGGTGGGTCTCTGAGTTCGAGGCCAGTCTGGTCAAGGAAGAAAGTTTCAGGGCAGCCAGGGCTACACAGGGAAGCCCTGTCTCTGAGAACCAAAACAAAACCTCAACAGCAGGAAATGTCTATCAGGGTTCTGTTACAGCTACCGTGACTCTGAACGACCAGCAACGGAACTTCTGCAGGACTGAAAATTGGCTGTCCCGAAGCTACAGGTTTGTGGCCAGAGGGGTGGTGGTGGAGAAACCCATCTTTTTATTTGTTTTCCGTGACAGGATTTCTCTCTGTGTAGCCCTGGTTGTCCTGGAACTTGCTCTGTAGACCAAGCTGGTCTCAAACTCACAGAGAACAGATGGCCTCTGCCTCCGAAGGTGCGCACAACCATCACCTGTTGGGGGAGCATCCATCCTAAGCACTCCAAGCTCAATAAGCCAGACCACGTCTGGAGCACAGAGATTTTTCCTCCCTTCTCTGGGGCTATCTGGTCCAGGGTAGCACTGAGCCAACTGTGAGGCTCATTGACAATGACCTGTATCCTCAACCCCGCCCTGTGCCAACATTCCAGTTTGAATAGCCTCCCTCCTGTGGATAATAGTTCCAATTGCCCCGCGCTTCCTAGTTTAAGCGCTAACACTACCAAAGTTCACTTTCCTGCCTTCTCTGGTAAGAACCCTTCTGAGGTTCATTCCAAACATTAACCTGTCTGCCCCCCTCCCACACACACAGCCTGAAGTCTCTTCATTTTTCTTTTCATTACACACACCTCCCAAGTTCTGAGATTACAGGCCTGTGACACCAACACCCAGAAACTATTTGCTCTCCACTCCTTCCCCAGCCTAGCTTCAAGTAGCTCCCTTTGTCCCCAGCACTGCTCTCTGCCTCAGGAGAAGACACACAGGGAAAGTGGTGACCCAGGCCAGCCACCAGATCATCACCGGCTTTGGGTTTAAGAAAAGATTCACATTCAGTAAAGCAGGGACGCTCCCTCGGTGACCTCACCTTCCACCATGTTAATTTGGGGATTTGAACTCAGCTCATCAGTGAGGCTTGGTGGCAAGCTCACTAGTACCTCCTAGGAAAATCTTAACCAACCTATGCCTGGAGTGGCAGCCCACGCTGCAGTATTGTAGCATAGGCATGCCAGGCTAAGGAAGGCTAGATAGAATGACACCCTGGAAGAAGAAGACAATCTTAACCTGAACTGTGGCCCGGCCAGGTCACTTTGTGGTAGGGGAACAGTTTGGTGGCTTCACCATGCGATAAGGTGCTCTGCCAGCCCAGAACTTTGCCCCCAGATGTTATAAATAAATGCCAATCACCAAAGGTGAGTGAGTGTGTAGAGTAGAAGGGGCTCAGAACTTCTAATCTAGAGCCAAGTTTTCTCTCCCGGAAAAGTCTTGCCTGGGACTTTTTTCTTCTTTTTCTTTTTTTCTATCTTTTTTTCTTTTCTTTTCTTTTCTTTTTTAACTTTTCAGTCTGTGAGTGTACGTATGTGCAGGTGGCTCGTGAAAGTCAGAAGAGGGCATCCAATCCCACAGAGTTAAAGTAATTGTGAGCCACCACATGAATGCTGAGAATTGAACTCAGGACCTCTGGAAGAGCAGTGCTCCTAACCTCAGAGCCATCTCTCTAGCTCCCCTGCCCCCGCCAACATACACACTCTGTTTTTTAAGAGTCTTATTTTACTGGTAGGCTGGCCTTGAACTCGGGATAAAACAATCTTCATGCCTTTGTTTCCCAAGTAGATGAGACTAGGGGTTCATGCTCCCATACCTGGCTTCTGGCTGACATTTAAGCCTATCCACACTGTCTCCCAGGCTTTACTGGAACTTGGCTGAGGCATAACCAGCTCCTACTTGGAGTAACCCAACCCACCATGAGTTAAATATCTTTGATTGACTCATTGTAACCTGAGCCGGCAGGGTCTAACTCAGTCATTCTGCTCTGGAAGGTTGACCAGAAGGTTGATGTTGAAGGTGTCCCTGTCAACATCACTAGAGGCAATATGGCTTGGGAGGCCATGGGACATGGAGACTATGGGTGGGTTGTTACTGTTAAGAAAACAACACCAATGGACATCCAAAGGTAAAAACATTTTCCATAGCCTGAGCTAGTGACCAGCCCTGGCTACACGAGAAGCTGGGAGTGTGGCATTCACCACCACAGGAGGACTGAGCAACCAGCACCTAGGCACACAAGGTAATAGCTGTCCTGCCCAAGGGCCCCACCTCAGGGCAGGGTAGATATATACCAAAGGCATAAGAAGACAGTTTCCGGGAGGGCCATCCAGTGCTACTGTGCTGGCCAGCCCTCTTCTCTGCCCCTGGGTCCTCAGGTAGGAAGCCGAGAACAGTTAGCTGCCTCACTTACCATCTCCTACCAGAGTTGGGCTCCAACCAGAGATTCCAAGGCCCCAGAACACAGGCTGGTTGTCTAACCGAGCTTACTAGTCTCACTTTCTCTTTCCCAGAGACGCTTGTTCTCACTACACTCTGTGCCTTCTGGAAATCAAGCTACCCTTCTGATCGTCCTGCCAGCCAGTGCTCAAGTGACTGGCCAAGGCCAGTTCTGTTGGCACAGCCCTGCACAGGGCAGCAGGAAAGCTTCTACAACTGGTAGAGAAGGGAACCCAGGGGGTTAAGTCACATGCCAGTCATTCAAGAAGAGAAAGCAGAGCCTGGGTCCTCAGGGAGGGAGGGCAGGGAAGTAAGATCAAAGATGGAGTCTGAATGGAAGCTGTAACTTTTTCTAATTGGCTTTTGTTATTTGAGACAGGATCTTACACTGTAGCTCAGGCTGGGTGGCACTATGTAACTCAGGCTGGCCGCAAGCCTCTGGAGACCCTTACTTCAGCTACTGAAGGGCTGGGATTAGAGGCATGCACTGTGTCTGGCAAGGTACCTTCGTTTGCTTTTTCTTTTTTAAGAAAAAAGTGTGCTTGGGGCTAAAAACAGGGTCTTGGGTATGTAGTTATGTAGTGAAACTGAGTTACACCCCATCCACCAGTTTGTAGAGTCCTTGCCTAAAATGTATGAAGCCCTAGGCCTGAGGCCCAGCACTGAACAAAACTGATAGTGGTAGCAGACACCTATGTCAGCATTCACTCAAGAGGTGGAGGCAAGGTCATCCTGGGCTATAAAGAGAGTTCAAGACCACTTAGGAAACATGAGACCCTCTCTCATAAAAACAAAAGCCAACGAAACAAATCAGAAACAAAAAGGTGGGGGCCTCCCACATGAGGCTCAGAGCTTCCGGCCTCAAGGCATCCTTCTGCTTCAGCCTCCAGAGTAGGTCACTAATACATGTGTGCAGCTGGGCCCGACCAAAGTACCCCCTCACCTCCAATCTTCTGTGAGATCCTGCGGTCAGGGAGGCTTAAGGTTTGGGGGCAGTGATATTGGCAGGGCGTTTCAAAACCCTGAACACTACTAGAAAGTGAAACCTCCCAAGGCAGAGCTGCCACCGCCCTCCTTCCTGCCCTTTGTAACTAAAGGGTTCTGCCCCTCCCAAAGGCACTGGAGAGCAGGAGCATTAGAGAGCCATGGGCCAAACACCTACTCATGGGCTGAAGTCAGGGGGTCCTGCCTGGGTGGCAATCCCGTACTCACATTTAGCTGTGTAGCTAGCTGGCTGCTGCCCGCTGGAATTTCCTTCACCAACTCTGGGGATGACTTCCCCATAGGGCTGGACAGGCAGGGGTGGAGCTTAGATTTAAAGGGCCCTGCCACTGGATCCTTTCCCCCACCAGGTTGCTTCTGAAGACACTAGGGCTGGATCCATACTCAGCAGCAATTTCGGCCTCAGCACCATCTGGTGGGGCTAGACTGAGACTGAGAAGGGTCAGAGGACCTAAGTGGAGGTTGTTATGGTGACAGCTGGGTACACTGTTGCCCTATCTGGCTTCAATATTCCAGTGTGGAGGAATACAGCTCTGTTTCCGCCCAAGTGAGAACAACTGCCTGGGTCCAGTGGAAGTCTCTGCTAAGAAAAGACCATTCTGTATCTTTTATTAAGACTCAGCAAATCCAGCTTAGAACTACAGGGAGACATTCAACAGAACACACTCTCCCACAAGGCACTGCACTGGGAGCTTGAGGCTTTTCTCCGTGACAAGTTTCCCAGAGTCTGGGCTGGGAAAGGCTGGCCACACCCAGCAGCAACAGTCTGCACCTGCAGGCCATGGCAGCAACAGTCAGTACTTCCGCTGCCTGGGAAAGAGACTGCTCCCCGAGGATCGGAGTGGAGGGCTGGCAGGGCTGGGACCCTCTGAGTCTAGGCTGAAGAGGTCTCTCCCAGTCCGAAGGATCTGTTCCTCTAGTTTCTTATGCCGCTTCATGTCCGAGAGGACCTTATCCAGGCGGGCCTCGCGTTTCTGGCTCCGGGCCGCGCTCCCTAAGAAGGTAGGAAAACGGGAACGGGACAGGATGGGACAGGATTGAGGCAGTGAGCACCTCCCTGCCCCCCCACTTGTAGAGACTTTGTTGGGCACATTCATTTTAGGCCTCAGCACAGAGGAGCTAATGCTTCAGGATGGACCAAACACAGGATGACTGACCTCCATAATGCGATGCCTAGGGAACATACCTAGCAGGGGTGGCTGGGGGGGTATGCAAAGGTCCTGGGGCACTGGGGTGGAGAGAGTGGACAGACAGACTCTCCCTGGACATGCTCATCCTCCCTACAATGGAATCATCTGGAGAACTATAAGCAGAGAAATGACAGGACTTCACCTAAAGGGCGTACTCTGGCAGCTGAGACCAGAAGCAGGGAGACTGTGGAGCAAGGGAGCGATGGTGTTAGAGGTAGATCTGTAGAAGTGGAGTGAATGGAACTTGCTGCTGGCTGGACCAGCTGGGAGAGAACTCAATGACTCTGAGAGTAAATTTTAGGAAGGCACGTGGGCTGGGATAGCGGGTCAGTTCTGGTGATGGACACAGCACTACATAATTGTGTTCTGGGGAATAATGACCAGGGAACTTTGGAGTTCTGGGAAGACGAAAGGAACAGGAAATCTGGTGGGAAGGTCCAGTGAGGTAAGCACTGACCTAAGCCAGCGACCCTACCACCGTGTCTGCTCCTTCCTGCAGCTGGTGCATCACTCTGGGGCATGCAGAAGCCCCTTACTTCCCCTCAATTCTTCCCTCTTACTCGTACCTGGTGTACGTCTCCTGTCAATCAGGGAGTCTTTCGGTGTTATGGGCTCATCATCAAAGTCAAATTCTGTAGGCATGTGCGGCCTGAGACAGGGTGAACAGAGAATGAGGGTGAGGGAGGCCCTCCCAAACACCTACTGGTACACCCCCGCCTGCTGACTCATCCTTTCCCGCTCTCCCTCCCTCCAGTTTCTGTGCTTAGGAGAGTGGTCCCAGGGACAGCGTGTAAAGTTAGTAAAGTTATTGCCTCACTTTTCCTCCTCCTCCTCTTTGGCCTCCGGTTCCTCATCTGATCTCTCCTCTTCACTCTGGGCTTCAGGAGTAGGGGGTCGGCGGGGCAGGATCTCCGCTTGAAGCTCCAGAGTACCTTGGGCTGCCAGCAGTTCATAGAGTCGCTGGATTTCGGAGGGTGGGGGCATCCAGGACTGCCCATTGGCCGGCAGCTCCACCTCCTCATCGCTGCAGGGCACGCACCAGTCTTCGGATTCTCCCTCGGCGCGCTCGTCGTCCACAGCGCTGGGAGCTTCTAGTGCTTCCTCAGCCCTGGATCCCTCACGCCCGGCCTCCTCCTGACCTCCTTGCCCCTCTTCCTCGGCCTTACTAGCCGAGACGGAGGGACCTCCGGTGTCCTCCACCGCCAGAGCCTGGAGGCCGGAAGTCACTTCCCCTTCTTCAGACAGAGGCGCCGCTGTGCTGCCTGCAATGGTTCCATGGCCCAAGGACATAGAGCACTAGGGAAGCCCAGCAATATAGGAGAGTCTGGAGTACCAAACCAGGGTGCCTCCCCAAAAGGATTGCGATCCCACCGGATTTTACGAAATCTCCAAGCAGTCAGTCCAACACTGACTGCGGCCAGAGCACTGTCCCCAGGAGGGGGCGCTCAGATCCCGGCAAGGACAGACCCCACCCCACGGATCCAAATCCAGAATCCTGCCGTTCCCGGGGACCCGCAGAAACCACGCTCAGAGCTGGAAAGGGAAGGGCCTGTTTTCACATCGCCCTCTCCAACACCGGGATGGGAGTCATTTCCTTGGACCTCGCAGACCTAGTTCGCTTCAACTCAGCGGCTGTACAAACCTGGAACTAAAACCCGCCTCCCAGGCTGCGCAGGGCCGCAGGACGCAGGCGCAGAGAAATGGCGCGCGGAGACTCCACTGTACTCAAAGCTACTCGAAAGAGGAAAGAGAAGGCTTGCGCATGTGCGATAGGCCCATAGGCATCACTAGCTTCGGCCCACACTAAAGATGGCCACTGCGGCAGCGCATGCGTATTTCGTTCACTAGGGCCTGCCAGAAAGCAGAGCCTTGACACTGCAAACGAACACAGGGACCAACTGAGGCGACTATCATGCATTCTCTGTTTATTGGTTTTTAAAACTCATGCAGCATTCAGCATACAAAAAGGGAGACTCAGTTTACTTTTTTTTTAAAGGAATTTTAGTTTCCCCCAACTTTTTTTTTTTTTTGAAAGAAACAAAAAACCCTCACCAACTCAGAAATGCATCGCAGCTGGCTCCCTGCCTCCTCAGAGGGCTGTCACGTGCAACAAACCTCCCTCATCCTCTTAGAAAATAATCACAGAGCTCTTCCACCCCTCCCTCGCTCCCTGTAGCTGGAAACTTTGGTCCTTTTCTTTTTCTTTTTTAAATTCGCCTGTTTACAAAGCAAGTGGATGGCCCAAACCCCTCAGACCTTCAAATACGAAACTCTGAGGTTATAATTAAGCCCAAATGGGCAGGTCAACTCAGGCTGACCCTTCAGCCGCTGCAGCACTCCTTTCTCCCCTGGATGTTCAGAATAAGGACGTCCACTCTGGTGTAAGTCCCCCAGGAGAGGCCTGGCTGGCCAACTTTGCGACCCAATAGGCACCTTAGGGATTGGGGTCGGGGTATGGTCTGGGCCCGGGTGGTCCCCAGCAGAGAACAGTCAGAGCCCCTAGTTAGGCAGTCCGCTTCCCACACCGTCCTTCCTCCCTCAGCCTGACCTAAGTACTGCAGTTTTTGCAGACTAAATGGTGGCAGGAGGGTTGAAGATGGGAAGATGAGAAGGCAGAAGGGGTCAGGGGATGTGGCAAGGGGAAAAGATGTTAAGGAAGGGAAGGAAAAAATGGGTTAGATGCCGAGACAATGAAAGTCAGGAGGTCGAGGTTAATTAAGGTTCAGAGGATTCCAGAGGCAGGAAGAAGTGTTGGGGGCGGGGGTGGGGGGGAGAGATGCAGAGGTGTGGAGTACAATTTGGATGTTCAGGAGGCTTTCCAGAAGTGCAGAGAGGTTTTTCAGAGTGCAGGGTTAGGGAGGCCAAGAGGCAGGAAGGGAGATCCGCAGGCAAAAGTGCAGGAAGAAAGGAAGCCAATGGCTGGCAGTGGAGCCTGGCAGGATGCAGGAGCAGGACATAAGCTGTAAACAAGGCTGCTCAGGCTCCCTTGGTCCCTAGGGATGGGGGCCAGGGCCATGGACTGGGCTTCCCCCAGGGTAGGGATGGACCCAAGACAGCTCCCAACAGGAAGAAAAGTCTTGGAAGGCAGGGCAGAGCCCCTCACTTATACACTGTGGGAGAGGAGAGGGAAAGACAGACAGGGAAGGAGACAGGAAGAGACAAAGGAATAGGGAGAACAGACAGGAGAGAGCAGGGTCAGGGGTTAGTAAAGCTGCCCTTGTCAACCCTTCCACTCCTCCCTTTCCTGTCCCCGACCCCCACTCACCGCCTAAGTTGATGACGCAGGAGGCGATGATGATGAGGACCCCCCCTACCAGAGCCACGATGCTTAAGAGCTTGGCTACTCGGCCCAGACGTTGAGCCCCATCCACGTCCCCCTGTTGCAGGCTGTTCCGGGACTAGGGTGAGGGTGAGGGGTTTGGAGGTATCATGGCCCAGGTCAGCAGGAGCCGGCCCAGCATGGATCAGGTGAGAGTCCAGAGGAAGGAGGTCAGCCCCGTGGGGTTAAGAAAGGAAGGATTGGGAATGCAGGAGGAAGAGGGCACAGGTCAGCAAGGTCATATGAAACATCTTTCTGGTCCCCTCCCGCTTGAAGGGGCAGCCAGGAGTGGCTGGGAGGGTTAGGCCCTGGGGAGAAGCAAGCAAAGGCCCAGCAACTGGGAAAGTGGGATCCATGCAGAGAGAGGGTTGGGAAGGTATCATTATTGGGGCTCTCTTCTGGCACTGGCAGGAAGCTGGGAGCCACGATATCCCTGGGCCAGGGTCCCTTGGGGCTCACCATGACGGCATAAGCGAAGGCCACAATGTTGACAGGCCACATGGGGCAGAAGCAGGACAGGATGGCAAGGATGATGTAGTCCCGAGGTTTCTGGGTGCCATCACCCCCTTCCACCCCAGGCCCTGCCAGCTGGGAGCTGGGATGGCGGCTCAGGCTACCTCGTGGAGATCCTGGGTGCCCACTATGAGCCCTTCCTATTCTGTCCTCCTCGACCAGCTTCTGCAGCACACGAGGGGGAGCCCCATTGGCTGGTGGTGTTTTAGTTGAGGGTGGCGAGTGAGGCTCGGGGGCTGGACCCTCTTCCCCATCACCAGCCTGAAGGGGAACGACTGCTCCATTTTCTTGTTTGTCCCCTATGCTTTCTGTCAGGATCTCAGGGGTAGGGTCCTCTTGGGTGGGGGCCTCTGGCTGAAGGGGTAGCTTAGGAGAAGGCTGGGGAGCTGGCTGAGGGTCTGACTGGAAAGCAGGCTCTGAGACTGGCTCAGGAGGGGCTGCAGACTGCGGCTCGGACCCCTGTTCTCCTGCAGCTTCTTTGCTCACATCTGGTTTAGGTGCCGGCTCTTGGCATGCCTCGCTGGGGCTGGGGCTGGGCTTGGATTCTTCTCCTGGGTTTAAGCTGAGGTCTGTGGCCTGGGCTGTTTCTGGGGCCTCAACTCGGGTCTCTGTGGTTTCTGGGGCCAGCTCAGCCTTAGGCCCTGAGTCCACAGGGGCTGCAGTGATACCTGGGCCTGGTTGAAGGGCCTCTGGCTGGTCTGGAATCTCTGCTACAACCTGGGCAGGACCTAGTCCAGTTTCAGAATGGTCAGGTCCTTCTCTCTGGGTCTTGGACCTATCTTCTACCCCCTTCATCTCAGGGACCTCAGAGCTGCTGGCTGCCATCTTAGAGAAGGGAGATAGGAGAGGGCCCGTGGGGAAGAGGAACCAGCAGTGACAGTGGCAAGTCCTGGAAGAGAGACAGGTTTGGTGAGGAGGGAAGAGGGCTCTCATCACCACAGGCCAAGGCTAACCTGTACTGTCCCTAGGGAGAGGAGGAAAAGTTGGAGATCCCTTTGCTTTGAGGTGGGACACCCTTGGTGGAGAAGTGTTCTACCTAAAGTCTGCTTGGAAAGTTCCGGGAAGACAATCCCTTTTTAAACAGAACCACCCTAGGTCTGTTCCTGAATCCATCCAACACAGCCAACAAGACCCAGACTCTCTGATCCCACCTTGAAGGTACCCCCAGCTCATCAAAATCTGTGCATATAACAGCCACTCCAACAGGCAGACTGACAGAGAACCCCACACATTCTGCTCCTTTTGTGCCCTTCCCTCCTTTCTGGGCACCACCTGAGCAGTGCGGGGTTTTCCTGCTGCGCATTTGGGCTCAAATATCCCCCCACACCTCCTCCCCGCCCCTTTCCAGAGAGACCTAGCATCTTGTCCGTCCCTTCTCAGCCCTTCATTTAGGGGTTCCCTTGCTGCCTTCAGAGAGGTCGAGGGGGAGGGGATCTTCTCCCGATGGCATGGCGCACCCAGCACCACCCTCTAGTTCGCCTGGCACCTGCATTCCCATGCCACCCAGCTGTCTGTCGTCCACTCCTACCAGCGGCCTCAGTTCGTCCCAGTCTCATCCGCTGCCAACCTCGGGACTGCTCCTGCGTCCCGCCGCCACTGCTGCCGCAGCAGCCGCAGACCGGGAGGGAACAAGTCTGTGAGCAATGAAGGGAGGTGGCGGATCTCCCCTCCTCTCTCCTCCGGGTTTGCTCGGCCCTTCTTCTCTGGTCCCCTCCCCTAAGCTGCACTGCTGCCGCGCCGCCCCCGCCCCTAGCACGCCTCCTGCCCCTCCCGGACAGCACAAGGGAGCCTCGTGCCAGCTCCGTGTTACCTGGGTAACCAGCCCGGGGACCACTCGTGCCCCCTCCCTGCCCTTTCTCACGCGCATCTCCTGGTGGGGCACCCCCTTCTTAAGTCCTCGGCCCCTCCCGCCAACGGTCACCGGGGGATCCTGGCAGAGACCTGGGTTTGTGAGGAGGCCGACCAGTGAAGACTGGGAGGAGGCATCCTGAGCAGCATAGATGGGTTAAGGAGACAGGTCTAAGTCTGGGGCAGCTGCAGGGGTACCGCATCGGGTTTCAAGAGAGGGGAGCCTGCAGAACTGAAGCCTTGCTACTCCAGGAAAGCAACAGCAATGCCTGATGAAAAGCTTAAGGGAGGGTTTATGGAAAGATCTGAGCAAAACCCAGAAAGAAATTCCAGCAAGCTAGGCAGATGTGCTGGGCCACATTGGAATGGGTAGGGCAAGCAGTCCACGACCACCATGGTAGAACTGAACAGTTTATCCAATGCTTCTGCATCTGCGCCAACCATGGCCTCCGGGATCTAAATGTGCAGGCATTTGGCAGGGCTCTATACAGACTGCTGCTGGGTTTTGGAAGGGAGGATAGCATGAATAGCCAGCCAGCTTGGGCACCCCAAACCTCCAGTGGGTATTCCCTAGAGACTTGGAAATTGCTCCCCACAGCCTCAGGATTCTTGGGTCCATCCTAAATCGGTGCTATAGCTAGAGGCTGTATCTCAGGAGGGGAGTCAGCACTTTGCAGGACAAGAAAAGCTGAGACCAAGATGAAGGCCAACAAAGAGCTCCCTCTTCTCCCTAAAAGGGGTGAGGTGCACATACGATGGGGGGCACGATGAAGATAACTTAGGAACCCAGAGACAAATTTTTATTTAAAATTTATTGTAATGGGGTCTGCGCAAAAGGAGGGAGGGGAAGGGGGGGAAACATGCAAGGGACACAGGAACACGATGACATGGCCAGGGCCACAGCTTCTGTTGTGGGAAAGAGGAGAAAAGACCAGGGCTGGAGCTGGGGTGGAAGAGGGAAGGGGGAGACACCGTGGCTGCATTCCCCCACCCCCAGGAAGCACCTCTTGTCCCTGGCTCTCCTCCTTTACCCTGGCCCCCTAAGATTCCATCTCTCTTGTTCTGCCTCTGGCCCTAGTGGCTCCTTCTGATGCTCCCCTTGGCTTTTCCCTGGAGATACTCCAGTAGATGTTAGGATTTAGTCACTCCACCTTACTGAAGTATCCCTCTGCCTTCCCTGGTTCTGCCCCTCAATACTACTGTATCCTTTCTCTGGGACAGAATCTTAATCCCCCTCCTCTCTCTCCTCCCTCCCCCTGGGAAAAAACAACAACAAAAAAAGAAAGCACCAACTCCCCAGGAAGGGGCAGCAGACAGTAGGAGAGGGGACTCAAGGAGGAGAGCACAGGACCTTCTAGGGAAAGGCTCACAAATCCCTGGGAGGAAAGGCAAGGGGTTAAAGGTTGAGGGCAGTGGTTGCTGCTGTCCTCTGCCACCCCTGCTCACTGTCCAAGGGACTTCAACACAACTTAGGGGACAGGTGTTTGTAGGGTCAGCTCTGATAGGGAGAAGAAAGGAGCAGGAGAAACATTGTTAAAACCTAGTGAATTCCTTCTTCCTCCTCTGTCTGGAGGCTCCGTGGTTGATGGTGAGCAGTGAGTTGGTGGGAAGAGGAGACTGTACCAAGAGCTTTCCTCCACTCTTCCACTCTTCCCCTCTTCCCCATCAACCTGGAGCTCACCAGGGCTGGGAGGGAAGTGGCTGAGAGCTCACTGGTACCCCCTCTGCCCCAGAGAGGGAGCCCACAGCTGTAGGAGGGGCTGCCACTGCTGCTGCCGCCGCCGCTGCCATTGGACAAACCTCACCAGTACCTACAGTGAGAAACACCAAGGATCACAGCACAACCTGAATGGCAAGAAATATGTTCCATGTCCCAGACTTTCCAACTATTTCCCTACTTCCCCTGGGACACAGCCGTTACTCACTTCCTATCTGGCCCCCAGAGGCTTTGGCCTGCCTGCTTACCCCAACAACAATTCTGTACTGCCCTCTCTTGACCCCGCATCTCCCTAAGCTGAGTGACAGATTGGCATCCCTAGCCTTCCTGAGATCCCCTATTGGGCCCTTTGAACTCCCTTGTCCCACACATCCCATCCTGCCCCCCCAGCCATGTCCCACGCCTTGCCTGGTGGGTGCAGGGGTCCCCCTCAGCAGGTAGGCTGTGGCTGGGGGGCATCTCCCGGGATAGGAGGGGCGGCCCCCCCCAGATGGGTCTGCATGTGGCCGGCCAGCTGGGCAGGGGTCTTGCAGTGCACGCTGCACAGTTTGCACAGGATGCGGTCAGCCCGCGGGGCCTGGAGCCCATGGTCCTTCACCGCGTGGATGCGCAGGTATGCTGCTGTGGTGAAGCCTATGGGGGGGGGGTGGATTGCGATGGGGGGTGGGGGTCAGCCTGGTGGAGACCCCAGAGACAGGGCTGTTCTCCTAGGCTGGGGACACCCTCCTCACATGGCACTGTCCTCCTCCCACCACATCCTTGGTAGGCTGGGGCCAACTACTCCACTGGGACATAGCCCTTCCCTGAGCTTGGGGCCTGGTTTGAACGGTTCCTGGTCCTTGATCTTTAACAGTATTCTACAGAGATCTTCCCCCATAGCCGGGAGACCTCTCCCATTTGACAGGACACTGTTGCCTAGCTTTTTGAAGGGTTGACTCTCAGTAGAGACGGCTGTGTCCCCCCTCTCCAGTGCCCCGGTCTCAGCTCATTTAGTGAACTAACCACACTGAAAACATCTCTCTCTGTTACCGGGCAGGGTGTGTGCTTGCTACACCCGTGCTGCTGTGCTCCACCTACCCCAGGAGCTGGAGACAAGAACTTGTGGCTGTGAAGTTGAAACCCTGGGGACTGGTTTTCTTGAGCCCTCCTTTCACAAATCAACCATGTCCCACTTCATTCTCCCCAGGCGCACCCAGGAGATGGACTCTGAGCCAGGGCACAGAATTTAGTGAGGTCCAGTTAGTTCTTAAAGGGCTCTCCTACATGCCACGAGCTCTTGGCTACAGCACCTTTAACCCACATCCGTGAACACACCAACAGCTTCGTGCCCACCCACCCACCCACTTTGTCCCTGCCCTCCTGGCATCCCTTAGCATGTACCTTTGTTGCAGAGCTCACAGACATGGTGAGGGCCTTGGCTGTGCACCTTCATGTGGTCCGAAATATAAGCCGAGCTCAGCATCTTGCCACACACATGACATGGCACCTTCTCCTCGTGTCGTACTGTGTGCGCCCGGAGTCGATCCTTCGTAGCAAAAGCTGCCTCACATTTCTGGGGGGGAGGGCGTGAGGGGTCACAGGAGAGTTAAAGCTTCGGGGAGTAGAGAGAAGGGAGCAAGATAAAGGGATCAGAGCCTTGGGGATCTTTGATCTGTAGGAAATGGGCGTGAGATGACCAGGCCTTGAAGGAGAAATGCGAAAATGGAGTGAAAAGGCAAAAAGAGAGAGAAAAAGGGGGTCTGAGAGGTTGAACTCAGACAGCTACAGTGAGGATCAAAATCATGAACACCAGGACAGGAGGCAGCGGTCTTCCTACCTCACATTTGAAGGGCCGCTCTGTTGAGTGCACTTGTCTGACGTGACTGTTGAGGTGATCCGGCCTAGGGATATGTTGAGGTGGGGGAGGGGGGTTAGGGCTAAGGTTCCAAGGTGAAGTGTGCCTCAAATCTGCCTAGCTTCCTCCAAAGTGCCTTTCCAAAAGCCCCAGCGTTTTCCCACAGAGCTTCGGTCCTTAGGCAGGAAATCCCTCAAGCCGGGATTCTATCTCTGCCCTGGAGGCAGCTTTGCTTCAGCGCAAGGACCCACCTCCTCTAAAGTACCACCCCCTGCTCCCAGTAACCACGAGGCTCACTTCCCTCCTCCCGGGGAGTGGTTCCCGTCCCCAGCAGCGGGAGCCGCCTCCCCACTAGGCAAAGACAGGCCACCTCGTTGCCCTCCCCCCCACCATCGGCCTAGTGGGCAGCCGAGGCCCCTGCACACCGGGAGAAGCTCTTGCCACAGTGGGAGCAGTTGTAGGGCTTGTGCACAGCGCCGTCATGTGAGCGCACGTGGTAACTCATGCGGTCCTTGCGCTTGAAGCGCTGCTGGCACACAGGGCACTGGTAGGGCTTCTCGTCCGAGTGCGACAGCTTATGTCGGTTCAGGTGGTAGACGTCGCGGAAGGCCTTGCCGCACATCTCGCAGGCATGATTCTTCCGGATGCGCTTTCCAGAGGCAGTCGTGGTCACAACGCCACCGGGCGCCACGGCGGCTGTGCCTCCGCCAGCCCCGGCTTCTCCCCCTCCCCCGCTGGCCCCGCTCAGCTGGGGCACGCTCAAGAGGCTCAGGGGCACCATGGTGGGCATCTTCATAGCACCCGAAGGGACCCGGCCAGCCTTGGCTCCTGTGTGGATGGCTTCGTGCCTCCGGAGGTTGTAGCCGTTCTTGAACTCCTTGGCGCACAGAGCGCAAATGTAGGGCCCCTTGCTCTTTGTCTTCTTCTCCAAGACAGATGCAACAGGGGCCACAGCGACTGTAGAGGTTGG